CTGGCTATTGTAAATAGAGCTGCAATGAACATTTTGGTACATGACTCTTGCATTTTTCTTACGAGATGGTCCATAAGTCTCACCAGATAATCTAAAGGTGGGAGGGGATCCCTGACTCAGTAAAGGTTAAGAACCATTGGTGTAATTTTTTTTTCTTTTTTTATGACTGCACCAGGCGGCTTGTGGGATCTTAGCTCCCCAACCAGGGATCGAATCTGGGCCCTCAGCAGTGAAAGTGTGGAGTCCTAACCACTGGACTGCCAGGGAATTCTCAGGAAACACTGGTCTAGATGCTTTACATATTCCCATGTTAGGAGCTGATCGTGTTATAAAATGATGATGTTTGATCGTGCTTTTTGGTTTGTTTTCCTCCAGTACGAGTATGCTTTGAGACATTTGTACGTGTTGGTCAACCTTTGTGAAAACCCTTATCCGATTGACAGGTAACCCTGCACCTGGCATTTAAAGGGTCGGTGTCCTTCTGAAAGCAGAAGGGCACATGGAGCACTGTTGTCCTCTTCTGCACCTGGGCACTTTGCTTCTGCCGGCTTCTGCCGGCTTCTACCTCTCACTGTGGACGAATTCAAAACAGATGCATCCCCAGGGTTGCTGGGTTGGGTGGGTCTGTCATACATGTTCCGTGGTGGGTTCTGTTCGTCTTCATTTCTTCAGAGTTGACCAACTTCGGGTTCAACAACTTCTTCTTCCCGTTTCTTACAGAATAAAATTGTCCATGAGCAAGGTATGCCTTGGTTACTACTGAAATGCTGTCGACGCTTTTCTGAATGTGAACACGTCCCTTAGAATGTGTGCTGATCAGAGACAGAAGAGCTGGGGCCAGAGGGAGGCTCCCCCCACGGCTGCAGGCCCTCCCGGGGATGTGATCAGGCCACGCGGGCCGCACTCCAGGCCTCCCCCAGGATGGCTTGCTCACCTTTACCTACTTCCCCAGCTCCTACAGGTCCTGTGTGATCCTCTGAAAAACCCACAGATTTGGGAGGCTAAATCTCTGCACTGAGAAAGGTGCATTTGCTTTTTAAGAGGGTTTTTTTTGCCCATGCCTTTTACAGAGCGACACGTTCACTGGGGCTTCTGCAGCCAGTGAAACGGTCTTCGAGGAATTTGAAGTCAGAACCTCTTAAGTCTTTACAGTGATTTTATGGAAGAGGGACATAAACCCCAAATGGAAAACTATTTTTAGAAAACAGTATAATTTTTGATTGCTTTTGTATTTTATTTGTCAATGATGGACAAGTCTGAAAAATAAAGATTTATAACTGAATCTGAGTATTAATTTCAGGTCCCCGACTTTGTAGTCTGTGCTCCTGGCCCCTCCTGGTGGGGTCCGCTCCCCATCTGTGTCTTCCAGCCTCCCCTCTCCCACACCGCCACCTGCCACTTTGTTCTCCCTGCTCCCCCAACGGCCTGGACTCTTCAGCCTCCTGTGCCTTGTGCCCTGGGGTGCCTTTCCCTCCATCTGACCCATCCTCAAGGTGTAGCTGAAAGTGCCCTGTCTTCCTCAGCTTCCTTCTCTCCCACACACAAAAGTCCCCTCTCCTCTGTCCGCCGGCATTTGCGTTTTCCTTGGGGATTTTCCAGCACTTGTAGGCGTGCCCTTACACCACGCCTGGGGGCTGGGAGGTTATCTAAGCTCCTCCGAGGGCACCGGCTGCCTGCCTTGTCTTTGTTTCCCTTGGCCCAGTGTCCCACACGGGGTGGTACTCACCGTGGGTTTGTGAAAGACATTCAAAAGTAGCACTGACTCCATGTAGTGGAATATTATGCGGCCACGTAAAGGATGAAGCACTGCTACAGCTCCAGCGTGTAGCCAAGGGAAAGAAGCCAGTCACACGAGACCCCGTATTATACGATCCGACTTGTATCTAATGTCCAGAATAAGCAAATCTATAGAAACAGAAAGTGGATGAGTGATGCCGGGAACCAGCGAGAGAGGGAAATGGGGAAATAGTGACTGCTAATGGGCATGAGGATTCTTTTGGGGCTGATGAAAATGTTCGGAGACCCATCACGATGATGGTTGTAAAGCTCTGAATGTACTAAATAAAACCCAGTGACTTGTACACATCAAATGGAATTATGTGGTTTGCTAATTATGTTTCAGTAACGTTCTTTTTAAAAATAAGCCATATACCTAGGTGACTTAAAATAGAGAGCAAAGAAAAAAGGAACACTAAAAACCGCGACACTTGTGACCACCTGTCTTTATGTAGTGAAACCTGTCTTATTTAGCAGTGGTTGACGCCTTTAAAGTTTGGAGGTATGGACTGGAAGTTGAGATACTGGCAAAGAGGGTTATTTATATCTGTGACAGATTCAAGGGTCATACTTCTGTTTCTAATGGGCCCATTTATTTTATTTTTTTAGCGGTACGCGGGCCTCTCACTGTCGTGGCCTCTCCCGTTGCGGAGCACAGGTTCCAGACGCACAGGCTCAGCGGCCATGGCTCACGGGCCCAGCCGCTCCGCGGCATGTGGGATCCTCCCAGACCGGGGCACGAATCTGTGTCCCCTGCATCGGCAGGCGGACTCTCAACCACTGGGCCACCAGGAAAGCCCTAATGGGCCCATTTTTAATCAGTTTATCCTTTCTCCATGAGGTTGTCCTAATACATCCAATCACGTGACCAGGATAAAGAACTCATTGTCCTACAGATTTGGGGGAGCTTTAGGGATTTAAGTAACAAGTACAAGAAGCATAAGGTGTATGAACATGTATCACTATAGCTCAAGAATGGGCAGCCCTGGGGGCCGGCTGATGTTCAACGAAATGCAAATACTGACAAGTAGAATATTTAAAAGGAGTCTCTTAAAAGGCCTCAATGTTCAGGTGGTAAAAGTTCTGTTCTTCTATTTTCTAGAACTGTTAACTACTTTGTGACCGTGCTTCTCTCTTATTATTTGTCCTCCCTGTAGAAGAAAAATATACTTAACTATTTAACAAGTGCAGTAACTTGAATGTTCATGGTTCTAAAGGTTAAAAGCAGCTTGTTCATTTCTCAAATAAATGACAGTTTCATAAGTAAGTCACACTGCCTTTTCTTTCTCCTCATGTGGTTCATAGGCCCCCAGCAGACATGGCTCTCCATCCCTCGTATTAAGCCATTTTCTATTAGATTTCTGATAAGGGTGACCTTTCTATGTGTATCACAACTAGGACCAGCATTTTTTCCCTAGTTATATCCAAAATGTACAGACATGTTCTGTCATAAGAGGTACATAGTACGGAAACTTTTGGAGTAAAACGTGGCCAACCCTTTTCTTCCCCAGAAATCCCAAACGTCAGTTTGTATTCATCATTAGAATGCCCTTTCTACATATTTACATACCTATATACCAATAATAGTTTTTTGCCTTTTTATTATAAAATAAAAACAGATATAGAAAACCATACAAAACAAGTGTAATGCTTAGTGAATTGTAAGATGAACATCCTTGTGACTACCATCCAAATCAAGAAATAGAACTTTACCAGATGTATTAGTCAAGATTCTCCTGAGAAATAGAACCAGTTGGATGTGTATACATATATAGAGAGACATTTATCTGAAGGAATCAGCTCACATGATTGTGGAGACCTGGTAAGTCCAAAATTGCAAGCTGGAGACCCATGGGAGGAGTTGCAGTCCAGGCCAAAGGCCACCTGCTAGCAGAATCACTTTGTTCTCAGGGAAGCTCAGTCTTGGCTCTCCTAAGGCCTTCAGCTGATTGGATGGGGCCCACCCACATTGTGGAGGGTCATCTGCTTTGCTCAGAGTCTACTCATTTAATATGTTAACATCATCCAAAAAGTCCACAACATTCAGAATAATATTTGACTAAATAAGCACCGTGGCCTAGTCAAACGGACACATAGAATCAACGATCACACCAGCCACCCTGGAAGCCCGTGCTTGTGCTCCATCCCAGTCACAGAACAGCCCCCACAAAGAGTAACCACTCTCCCTGTGTTCTTTGTGGTTTTATCACAAGTGTGTATCCCTAGACACTCGTCTTAGCCTTCATTCTGCAGGTTTCCTCATCCTTCTTCTTCCTTCCAATTTCCATTGAAGAGTCCAGGCCGTGCATCGGTAGAGTTTCTCAGTCTGGACTTTGCTGATTGCATATTCAAGCTGCTCTTCAGCATGTTTTTCTGACGCCCAGCTCTCTTACGGATCAGCAGCAGGATCCGGACGACTTACATGTGTCTAATGGGTTTCAATCCATTGTGCTTCTGTACTGAAGCTCAAATTGTTCATTTTAGGCTGATGGAATCTTAAAGGTGGGCTCCCAAGCCCTTTTGACATGACCCTAGGAAACCTCCATAGCTTCCTTCGTATCTGGTGTATCAAGATGTTTCATTCTACATTTCCTGTCCCGAAGCTGAGATCAGCTATTTCTCCAGGAAAAGCTCGTTTCTTTTCATGAGACATAGTCTTTCAAGGCAACAGTCGGACTGCTAGGAGTACTCACTGCTCCTGCCTCTAGGCTGGCCCCCTCCAGTTCTGCTCTACGTGGGTGGAGAATTTCCAGACTCCCTGTGCTTCCAGACAGGGCTCTTCAAGGGCCTGGCCAGCTGCCCCTCATCCACACCTTCCTCTACTCTTTGCTTCAGGCTTTATGTACAAGCGATCTGGAAATGACTGGTGACCCTGCATACAGCACACTCTTATTTCATTTTTCTGTGATTTTTCACTTTCTCTCACCTTCCTTGTCAGAAACTGTCAAGAGCCAGAGATTTTACCCCACTTGCATGTTAACAAGGTCACCTGCCACAGTTTCACAGGTGCTGGCAGGAGACTCCTGGGACCATGACAAGGGACTTCATTACCCCTGGCAACCAGGCGCACGTGCTTCATATTTGCTTCGACCCCTCTTGCCTGCCGAGTGCCCTGAGGGGGATGCGGAGGTGGGGCCTGGTAGAAGCTATGCACACAGTGGGTCTGGATCAGGCTGAGGAAGAAGGGCTGTGAGCAGACCTGTCCCACTTTTACCCTGCGGGGAGACACTCTCTTCCAAAGTGAGAGACATTATTTTATCATCTTGGTCAGGAAAAAAAAAAATCTGCCCTCTTCCCAGGAGGGAGAAATTCTCTTTATCCTCCAAGGCTAGTCAAATACTCTTAAGAAGATGGTCTTGGGCTTCCCTGGTGGCGCAGTGGTTAAGAATCCGCCTGCCAATGCAGGGGACACGGGTTCGAGCCCTGGTCCGGGAAGACCCCATATGCCGCAGAGCAACTAAGCCCGTGTGCCACAACCACTGAGCCTGTGTTCCACAACTACAGAGCCCGTGCGCCTAGAGCCCTTGCTCCACAACAAGAGAAGCCACTGCGATGAAAAGTCCGCGCACCACAACGAAGAATAGCCCCCGCTCACCGCAACTAGAGAAAAAGTCCTCGCGCAGCAACAGAGACCCAATGCAGCCAAAAATAAATAAATAAATAAATTTTAAAAATTAAAAAAAAAAAGAAAGAAAGAAGATAGTCTGGAATAAAAGCTGTCAGTGAGTCTTCACCAGACATGCAAGAGATCCATGGAGAATTCCAGCCATCTTCAGGGGTTCTTCAATTCCCTTCTGCTTTTGGCCAACCCTTTATCCTTCAAGACTGAGCTCAGGCAGCCCTGTCTTCAGGGAAGCCCTCTGCTCCCTCCCCGCGGGTTACATGCCCTCCCCTGCCTCAGGACCCCATCACATCCCATGCTGACCGTTGTCACCACACTGCTCACATTGAACAGAAAATGTGTGCGTGGCTCGGTAGCCCCCAGGCTTGAGTTCACCTGGACTCCCCATAGACCATTTAATGCCATCATATGGAAAAGGTGTCCCTTTCTCTGGGTGGACAGAGTCCTGTGCCAAGGTGACAAGTGGAGCCCAGACTGGATTTCAACCCCACTTGTCCCCTCAGCCGTGTAGCCTTGGCCGTGAACAACTTCCCTGCCCTCATGTGCTAGCTCTGAATTTGCTTCCCTTTTCTGAAAGATCTAAGGCTTCGCTTGCCCCAACCCGGGAGCTTGTCTGATCCCTGCGACAAGCCTGGGAGATCAGGGCATAAGCATTCTTAAGGATGGGGACACTGAGGCACAAAGATGTTGAGCATCTTGCCGAGGGCTCGCAGCTGGCCTGGAGCCCAGGTCTCCTGACTACGAGTGGAGGTTCTTCCCACCTTCCAGCTGAGCAGTTTCTCCGACTTTGAAGCCAGATTTCAGAGTTCCCTTTTGGTCGAGGGCTGCGTCAGCAGCGAAGAGGTTTCCTGGAGGGCATTCCTGGGAAACGGCTGTCTTCCAGCAAACAGCTGACAGCTAGGGAAGAGGAAGAGCCGCAGCCCCTGTGAATCAGCGCTGTTCTCCCGAAGCCCTGCCCCGCGTGACCTTCCTGCCCCAGCTGCTCCCCCGCGTCCCTGCCCCAGATGGCCCTGCAGAGCAGGAGGTGGCCAGTTCCTGGATTCCGGCCGGCTGAGTGCACACACAGCGACCGCATCTGCGACTGCATGTGCCTTCCAGAATCAGCCTCAGCCGCCAAGTGGGGATGACAGGCTGGTCTGTGGCTGGCGGAGGGAGGCGTCTCCACTGCACCCAGAGGACCCTCCCCTCCTCCCTCTGTCCCTCCTCCCACTCAGGGCCTCTGCTCTTCTCTGCCCACCTCCCTTGCAGACCCGTCCCTTGTCCCCCAGCAGAAACTTGCTCATACTAGGGAGACCCGGATTCAACACATTAAGGCGTTGTGAGGCCATCGTGGGCCAGGTGTCTGCAGGGGCAGTTTGCACTTCTCACGATGGGCAGGGCTTTGCACCCAGCTGTCGCTGGTAGGCCCTGGGGACGGAAGAGCAGCAGGGCCTGGGCATGCCCTGGTCTCTGCAGAAGCCTTCGTAGCTTCTCCCAGCACCGCTGGCTCCAGTCTCAGCCTCAGGGACTGGAGGGGGCCAGTAAAAGTGGAGGGAAGGAGGGAGCCAGCCGGCCAAGGGTAGAGGGGACAAACGCTGGGAGGACACACAGCCGAGCCCCTGTCCTACGTCCCAGCCTGTGGCCCCGTCACCCTTGGACACAATGACCCCCTGTTCAGGGCCTGTGGAGAAACCAGGCCGCTTCACTTGCATCTTGGGCCTCTGGATCAGGTCAGCCCTGCGATGCTCACCATGGCCTCAGGCAAGTTCACCCAGAGCGGGCCTGGCGGGGGAGACTCATCTGACTTTGGTTTTCTACCAACAGGTCACTTGGGATGCTGCACCGGGTAGAAAAGAGAGCCCTGAGTTTGGGGGTAGGTTAGCCCTGAGTTCAAACCTCACTTTGGCCTCTAACCAGCTGTGTGACCTTGGGCAAGTCATCCCTTGTTATGGGCCCAGTTGTGAGCCCTCCA